TCTCTCTCTCTCTCTCTCTTGCCCTTTTTAACTCCCAGTGGAGCATAGGCCATCAACAACATTTCTCCAGCTTGTACCGCTCTTCTCCATGTCATTTTTTATCTTCCTTTCTTACGTTATCCTTGTGGATTCCACGTCAAAGCCTGTCTGATGATGTTTGTCGGGGGCTCCCTCGGGGTGTGCCCAATCCATTTCCATTTCTTCTCCTGTATGTCTTCCTTTACTGGCCTTTGGTTTGTTCTTTCTCACAGTTGAGCATTTGTGACTCGATCGTACCACTTTATCACCACTATCCTTCTTATACATACATTAATGAAGCTCTGCAGTTTCCTTGCTGCTTAAAACCTCTACTAAAACTTTTTAAAAAACTTTCCCAGGTTACTATCCCATTCAACAGTACTACACCTGTACCTGTAGACTGTCCAATGCCTGTGGGGTTGTGAGGATTCCACCGACCACCCCAACTCCTGCCACCACCACAACCACACCCACAACAACAACAACACCAACTACAACAACCACAACACCAACAACCACCACCACAACGCCAACTACCACCACAACCACACCTACTACAACGACAACAACCCCTACCACCACAACGACAACACCAACCACCACTACAACTACAACAACTACCACAACCACACCAACTACCACAACAACGCCAACGACAACAACAACAGGAAGAATCACCGGTACATCAGGCTCACGTGAGTATCTTGCTATCCTTACAACCCCTCCCCCACCCTCCCCCACCCTCCCATTTCTCCACTCCACCCACCAGGGCAGTTCTACTGACTGAAATTGTCTTTAGGCGATTCCCAAAGGGGGGATATTAACATGTTCTTATGCACAGTAGAATTGTAAATGGGCTGATTCATCAATGTCATGCTCATACCGTGCCAGAACAACATTAGGGGGGAACTGTTGCTTTTTCTTTCCTCATCCTTAGTATTGTCATTTCTTCTCTACTTCTTTTGTATGTTTGTCACTCTCTTGTGACCCGCTATTTCCGGGGTGCCTTGATAGTCGAAGCAGACTTTATGCTGTTGATGCTAGAGAGGTGAGCAGAGCAAGCCTGATTCCCCAATTTGAAAAGGGTTATGGTAAGCTGAACGAGCCAGAATGAATTAAACCCGTCACTGCATTAGCTGCCTGAGAATAGGTGCTATAGTAGTAGTAGTAGTAGTAGTAGTAGTAGTAGTAGTAGTAGTAGTAGTAGTA